ACCACCACCACCACCACCAACAATGTGGGTCCGATCCCTACTTGTCCGAACTGCGATCGTACCTTCAACTCACGTATTGGCCTGGCCAGCTAGTTTCGAATCCCTCATACCGAGATCGGCACACAAATGACAGGAGCCCCAATATACACCCGCCGCATCTGCCTCCACTGTTCGCACTGCACACACTCATTTGCCCATCGTATGGGACTACTGGACCACATGCGTACCCATGACGGCTGACTTCATCGCACTATCGCTAAGCTAAGCACACCTTGTACACCCGACAACTCTCCTATCTATCGCATTATCCACTTCCTATCTACCAGCGTGACGAACACTAACAACATCTTTACCGCAACTGACTCAGCAGCTTCCAACCTATCCTGCCTACATTGTCCCTGTACACGCACATTACATTTCGGCCTGATCAGTCACGTGTGAGACCATCGCATAGAGACTGGAAAACCAGTGTCTGGAGCAACAGATAGGCACCCACTGCACCCGCCCCAACTGCTCACACTGTTCATGCAATTCGAGCCAACTGTTTCCCTCTTTAATCAACATAGAGACGTCTGCTGCCTCCACCATGGTTATCACGCTTAGAAAAACTTCTGAATTCACTCTCTATCCTGCCATAGAAAGCCTTATTCTATCTATACTCTTCAAGATGCGCTGGAGTGTACGCCTCGGCAGCCGCGATGCTGACAACAGTAACACAGAGAGGCGCACGAGTGCAGCCCTCGATGATATCAATCGTTCAGTGAATCCGCAGAGTTCTGGTCTGGTCATTCAGAGCCCCCGCAATGTAGTGACCCTACTCTGGGCTCCTGCCGTAACGCTGGGCCTCTCGCAAATCAGGGCTGTCTGGAGTTCCCCACTCGGATTTCCAACTGGCCAACCAGATTCAAGGCCGAGTCAAACGTGTCCTGGCTTAGGGCACTTTGACGCATTCGCTTACTGACACTTGGGACGTCGCTCCCGGGGCACCGGATGCACTTTCATCTAGCTGCTGACTCCCACTAGTTCCTTCTCCAGAATAAATGATCCTCCCAACTGGCATCCATCTCCCCTTTCCTTTCGGGACTGGGCCTAAAGTTCGTGGTAGCCGGGGTCACGTGCACGGCTTAGGCATCTGCGTTAACAACACAATTCCGGCGGGGGGTTTTCAGCACTACTGCCGTAATAGTGGAGGAAACATTAACATGTGCCTCGTACTTTAATGCTGCATGGGCCGTACTCTAGCGGTCACACTTCAGGGAAACAGACAATTTTCACATCGCACAGTAAGAACTCTGGAAAAAGTTAGGCTCCACGCTGTCGGTGTTCAGAGAGTTCCCAGTGGACCTTGACAATAAACAGGTAGCAGCAACTTCGTTATAATCAAGAAGACAGCTAGTCATACCAGGTGTGAATCCCATTGCCCAATGTTTTAATCAAGAATTGATGCGCATTCCCAGGGAACGGACCCTCTTCTCGGGTGTCTGACTTGTCAGGCCACTGGCATCTACTGCCGTCGTCATACTACGATGACCAGCCTACACTACCTCTGTATCATCCGCCTTGTCTGAGGGGCGAATAACGGTTGCCCAAGTGAACTGTCATGATTCTGTGTGATTCACAGCCGAAAGTCCACACACTACCTGTCAGCGGACTGTATTCAATGCGACTGCGTGAAAATAGCAGCCGTAAAGTGGAAGCGGACGTGGAAGAGGGGTAGTGTGGACTAAAAACAGGGGGCAGAAACCGGGGTGGGGGAGAGTTTGCTCACCTTGGTATACACCACGCGTCACCCAGCTCATGCCACATGCTCACCTCCGGCTCGATGAGGGAGTCACGGATGAGGCGAATGGCTTCGGCTGGGAAGAGCGGGGCAACGACACGACGAGCCAGCTCCGGCTTCCCTGTGTGTAGATCTCGCACAAAGTCCACAGGCTGGCTGCGGTGAGTGCGGAGATTCGTAGTAGGGAGAAAGGGACGGAGGGGGGGGGAATGCGCGCACGTTAGAAGGGACAAAAATTAAAACAAGGAACATATTTTGTAACCACCTACATGCACATGTTGCCCACAGTATGTGATTCTTACGGTATTGGGTCAAATTCTGACAGTACCTTGCTACATTCAAGTTGACTGTTACATGAATTTGAATCAGGGGAAGTCTGAAAGACTGCTCCGCAAACATGTAAAACAACGGAAACATGCCGACCTTTCGTAGGGCATGTTTGACATGTTTCAGATAAGCTGTAACTCGCCCTAAATAGAGCATGCGTCTCTTTCCAGTACTCTAGACGAGACCCAGCGTAAAGAGCTTTTTCGAAATGCCTTGCAGGCATCAGCAGGATTAGTGGGTGGAATCTAAGCTAAACAAAGTCTCCGTTGGCACAAGTCATCTCGATGACTCCCGTCGGTGAGAACGCCATCCAGATGATGCACACATCTCCTGGCCCTCCAGCTAAAACTCTCTTGTAATGGTCGAATATGATTTATAAATGCGTATACTTGTCGAATTCAAACTACATCATGAACTATATTCGCCTACCCTCAGGCCATATACGAAGAAACCTTAAAAAGTGGATAGAAAGATAAACGTTTTTAAACCTTTTGCGCTTGCAGTACAACATCAAGACTGTTCGGCATTTCATTTCAAGGGAATGAAACAGTTCCACCCAACGGAGGCAGTGCCTGAAAATACTGGCTCATTCGACATTCGCTGTTTACAAGTGAACCCCTCACGACATCTCTACAGAGTGCTGTGAACTACAAAGGCATTTTCAGATGTACTCAGTAGCCTGAAAGTAAGGCAAGACAGTCCGCTAATAAAAACAACATGCACCTAAATTCAGGACGCATGAACGCAAGTTGTTGGGGACGTTTCCAGGTGCGAAAGACTGTTCAGGTGAGTTTTCTACATTAATTAGCATAAAACACGAAAAAAGTTTATTCAAACACAGCTGCATGCTGGTTTTTGGCCGTGTGTCATTCCAGCCCTCGAGTAGTTACGCGCATTGACGACATCCGGTAGTCATCAGCTCGACTGCGTGGCATGAGCGTGGGAAGCGATAATTTTGACCGGCACTCAGGGGCATAGCAACTGCACACTTAAACACCTGGCCAGTCGAGCCGTGATGCACTCGGGAGCGGCCAACTAGGATAGGCATGTAGCAGCTACATCAAACAAATACTGGAACAGCAGGGTAACCCACTACTCTCTGATAATGGATTCGAGTGAGACTCCGAAGCGTCAGGTCAATAAAGCCCCTTTCTCGGCGATCGTGTCTCTATCTTCGCGACTACTTCCTGGAGTTCGTCTCTTCGCTTCTATTAGCAAGGTGATTTCAACACTTGCACCAATTTAACCGCGCCTCCACCACGGGCTGCTCCGCAGATGCATCGGACCAAATTTGGGCACGGATTCGGCCGCGCAAACGCCGCACGAGGCCATAAGTATAGCCGTACGTGACGTGGTGAGTGTGGTGGCACGCAGTGTCAGTCACTTCCCCCAATCTCCTCACCAGTTGATTGACATGCTCGGACAGTTAGCTAATGCACGAATGAGAGAAAAAGAGAGAGAGGGAGAGAGTGGGTGAAGCTGACATGACGTAAATGATATTCTTGCGAACTAAGGAGTTATATCTCACGAGCCCCTAACATTAAAGGCAACAAGTAAAACCGACCGGTGAATACTATAGAAATTCTGAACGTTAAGTAACCTGACAACAGAGCGCGGCAGCTAAGCAGGCCAGAAAAGCGGGTTGTACAGGTGTGTCGTTTCTCGTCACATTCAAACAAGCAATCCGGGCAAAAAAACGGGACTAAATTATCAAAGGTAAATTAGTCCGGTACCTCACCACGACATTAACCGCCTGCCGAACTGCGCGTAAACTCTTTCATCTTTGGAAAATTTGTCCAATTAACCCTATCCCTCTGGAAATGGATTTGTGAACCTTCGAGTCAATGGGTGTGACCTAGAAAATTGCCAAATGACGTGATAACTCTGTCCTTTTCGGGACTGAGAGTCAGAATGCAATGGTCTCTTCTTTGCGCAACCTATGTAGCGCTGTCGCGCACGTGAGATTCGAACCGCCACCATGAAGGCCTGGTAGATGCTATAGAGACCAGGTCTTGTGTGGCACGCGTATACCGACTGTTTAGCTTAGTCAGTCACTGCGCCGAGTCCGTCACCGGTCGTCTTGAAACTGTCTTGTCAAGGGAGCCGGTCAGATGAGGCAGGAGGGAGTGCGGTAGAGGCTAAGCATGTCTGCATAACTGCAAACGAGTTCACGCCTCCTGGTTCACCGTCCCAGGTTCATAACGCGGGACACAGGGTGAACGTCGTCGCTCGCAAGCGTCGAACAGTCATCGATTAAATTAAATATCCTATGCAGGACACATCAGATTTTCATCTCCCATACTGGTCTTGTAGAAACAAACTCCCCCAAATAGTAAACTGGAGTGACAGTTTCTTGCGACGGCTGAAACATTTCGACCTACCAGACATGCCCAGCTCGATATCTGTACCCCTTATAAGTGCTGCCTGAAAACTGCTGGAATATATTTTACGCGCACCAGAAGGCCTCATTCGTAAAGACCTGGAAGGACAGATAACTTTGCCATAGGGAAATTGCGCGCCATTAAGTTAGGAAACTGCACAATCAACGTTTTAAAACGAAAACAAACCCTATTTACGTAACCTGGAAGAGAGGCGTAATTTATTGCCAAGTTAGTGTGAGAAGTAATGTTTGTAGATCCAATGTGAACAAGAAATCACTGGGTAAATGACACACCACCTAAAGGACATCTCAGAATATCGATTGGGCAGGCGGTTGGAAGGACGCCCAGCCAAAAGCAGCCCAGTGCTGCATGCGAACAAACTCTTGGTCACGTTCTGTTTCAGTTTTTACCGGAAATTCGTCTTCAGAGTTTTTTCTAACGGGAAGTATAGTGAAACAATTAGGTATGTATTTTGGTAACTTCGAAGTCCACGGCATTTTGATCGCAGGACTGACTTTAACGTATGTCAGCATCTTTCAGTTTACGAGCCCAATTACCACATCAGTACGCTGATTCATCAAAATTACAGTAGGTGGGTTAACTCATGAAATGTCAGCCGAAATTTGGAAATTCATTCCCGTTTCGAAAAGACTAATTAAGTAGGGTTGTGAAACTAATCACTATACAGCATAAATCGATAATAATCCAGTTTCCTCAGGGTGCTGGCTTTCGAATGAACTTTTTTCCGCCTGCATCAAGTACTATACTCTGCAAACAAATGACTATTCGAGTAGCATGACTTTTTCTCATTGATTTTCAGTGCCCTTAATAATTCAATCATAGTTCATGGAAAACATGCACGTCTCCTTCCAATTTTATACTCGAAGGTTGGATATGATTCGCTTTTCAAAAACGTTTCCTATTCCCGAATGATTTTGAACCCAACCTGCCGTTACATTTGCATTCAGAGTTTCCAAACCACAAGCTGTATATTTTCTGCGTATGGAAAGCCATACATTTCTCTACGGTATTAAGAGAAGACCATGTTGGGTTCATGAAAGTTAGCAGCAGATTTGAGACATATTGTTAACTTGACAAGTCAGATCGGTAAATGCACAGACATGACGTTTTATGAATGGCCATTTCACGGTATTAAAAATCGCACAATTTAAACTGTTTTAAAACCGAATTATGCCCTTCCTTTGAGTATAAAATTGGAAAAAGACGTGATTTTCTACCGAAAGAGTGAAAGAATGAATATTTTTTGCATGTTTTCCACGAACTATAATTGAATTTTTAAGGGCATTGAAAATCAATGAGAAATCCACATGCTACATAAGTAGTCATTTGTTTGCAGAGTATAGTTATTGATGCAGTAGGAAAGAAGTTCATTCGAAAGCCGGCACCCTGAGGAAACTGGATTATTATCGATTTATGCTGTATGATGATTAGTTTCACAAACCTACTTAATTAATCTTTTTGAAACGGGAACGAATTTCCAAATTTCGGCTGACATTTCATGAGTTAGCCCACCTATTGTATGTCAAATAATAATCCTTACCCAACGACTTAATTGATAAAAAGTTGGCAGCTCCGGTGGGATTTGAACCCGAGACAGCAAGCGCAAGGCCGGAGTACAAGCAACGCCTTAATCGTCCGGGAGATTTTAGACTTGTATGACAGTCAGCCTACTGTAACAGAACCGTTCGATTCCCTTAGTTGCAGTTGACTGGGAGGGCAATTTAACCAAAATGTGATTAAATCCAAGGCTCCGGATTGGTGGTTAAAGCGTTGACTGTATTCAGACATTGCATTTGCTGTCGTGAGTTCGAATTCCGCTGGGCTCTCTGATTTTTTTACAGTTGGGTCAGTGGAATTATTAAAATCAGTTAAAAACATCAACTGGATCTTTTTGCAGCTGCTTTAAGGCTGGTATCTCGGAAGAAAATGAAGATGGAGAATTGTGCAGACTTCAATGCAGAAATGCACTCACGTCCAATCGAATTCTAGTAGTTTGTGACACATTTTTAAAGAGAGAAGGAATTAAACTTTCTAATGGGGTTGTTGAAGTACACCAATCAATTTGAATTTGACTATCTCTTGTCAGGAATCGTGAAACAATTCTCGAACTGTTAGCTTTCAGTTCCCATTAACCATTTACCCTGCCTTCGCAGTTAGCGGAACAGTCAAGCTTACTAGGATGATAACAAACAATCTGAGATAAATTCTTCCCCTTCTAAATTTTCCGGAAGAAAGATTGTTATCGAAATTATGGCGCAAAAGTAAAATTCTATAAAACGTACAAAGTTTATGGAGGAGGGTGAGTTGAAGAAGAATAATCAATTTATTCCACAAAAAATGACTTGGAAAACATGAATACTTCGCTCCAGACAATGTAACTACTTTAAGTCAAGTATTATAGGAGAAGACGGCTAGCTAATTTGGTTTTAATCGATCAGTTTATATAATTAAGTCCAAGGTAACAATGCATTTCTAGAATTTTCGCGTAGTTCCATAAAAGTAATCAGGAATTTTGGGTTCCCGTTTTAAAATTCCTCTGGGATATGCAACAAATTAAAATTTAGGCCAGTAACGAGGCCACGAAAATTCCAATCCCATTTGAAAGAGAAAAGTCCTCAACATTTTAACTGAACCCTTATGTGAGTTCAATGTACAGATAGACTTTGTAAAAAGATTACTCAAACCAGGAGTTGCTAGCAAACACAAAGTGGTTTTCTTTTAACACAATCAACGCTGGCCAGAGGTCACCACACGTTTTTGCCTTTTGAGTTTCAAGGGTCCCCAAGGTAGCGGACATAATTCTGATACTTCTCATGTTACAAATAAACTAAAAAAAACCCTGTGACACAGCAAACGTTGATGTGGAGCTCCAAGTTCGCACTTTTAACAGAGTGGGAAGCTTACTGCAGGATTGTGAACAGGCGATGAGTCAACAGGGGTGGGTTTGGCTCCGATACGAAACCCTGTAGACGCGCCAGCAGAACAATCGAAAATTTGATTTTCTCGAAGAGATCGACCAACTCTTCGTCTGATATTGCAACTTCAACCTCGGAGGATATCGAAGTGTTACCTGAAAATTAGCGAGGGTCGTAATGGTCACTTAGTGAATCGTATCGCACCTAGTATACACAGCACGACAAAACCGAAGGGATTAAAAATGAAAAAGTAATCGAATTCTGAACCGAAGACAGCCTAGTTTGCCAAGGCTCCTGAAAAATCGGTCAGAGTCATGGTAATGATTAGAGACGCTCAAGGACAACTAACGCAATGATTAATCGCATACATTAGGCAAAGTCGTCACGTGACTTTACACATTCCTGGTCACAATCGATGGCGTGAACATCTGGCTCATCTACGGAACCCTACGTCCAATGACCAGCAGAGTTCGAGGACAAATCGCAGGTCCTTCCGACCAGGGGGTCGAAATTCAGATAACCAATGAGCAAAAAACGCCCAGAACTAACCGCCGCAGTCTCCTTTATCATTGTCGGTATTTCTTTTGTAATAGTATCTACTGTCTGTATAGGTAAGACGAACTTTTCAGGCACCTATAGGAAACTTTGCTGATTCTGCAAAGGGCAATGTTCTCAGCGTGACGGTTGAAATGGAAGGAATGCGTGGGCTGAGGAGAAGACAGTTCGCAGGGCAACGAAAGGTCTCAATTAAATGGGATGACTAATGTGGATTTGTTGGTTGCGCCGTCGCGAAGGAACAGTATGCTGTAAATATCACTACGGGTTTCATTGTTTCAAGACGTTTTTAGAATACCATCATATGCCTAACTGCGTTTGTAAGCGTTCCACTGAGGGTCTAAAATTTACCCCTAGAGCCTTGAATAACTTATATAAGGATCATTACGTCTGAGAAATGCACAAAAAGGTTTTGTGAGTATTGCACTGCGATTGGCAAAACTGCTGTGTAGCATGTGACACAGCACATTAAGCATTAACCGAATTAAGTAAATATGCTTCCAACCGGAAAGTAATGCTTAGTCTAGGTTGTTATTAGAGAAATGCACAGAATAGCATCTCAGAACAATTCACAGTCCATGGCAATTTTTAATGACATCAGCAATCTCACTTGGAATAGCTCACTTCTCCAGTTAAAGAGAATTTGAAATTATTAAACGCCTATAAGATCAGTTAGTTTCCTCGGACAAGAGAAGGACATTTTCTTGTGCGGATACTTGGAAGGAAATTACATTTTTAAAGTAATTATTGACATCTTTGGGAAGTTTACTAGAAATATACTTTAAAAATTGTGACTTTTTGCAATGTTTGAAAAGTTACTAAACTGTTGTTGATAGGTTTCATCCCCATAGTCTTAGTACAGACGCTATGACCTCTACGGGATGTCGCAACAAATTTCTGACATCAAAAATCGATTATTTTTGGTTAACATCCACCCACTTTTGTCGCTCCACCGACAATACAAAGCGTCAACCGGTAGGTAAGCCACGAACACCCGAAGCAATTAAACCGAAAGCGCATGAATTGCAACTGAAAAGTGATCAGGTGTTGATACTACTGGAAGCAATAAGTTACTGCTTTTGGTGTTGCTGACTACTGGAGTGTCAGGAAACTTCTGTTGTGGCACAGAGTCCAATTATCGACCCTCTGAATTCTGGTTAAGAGTTCTGTCACCTGGACTGTCAGAGGGCCGATGCGACTTTGGGGAATTCCTTATTGCCTAAATTCGGACTAGGAAGACGGGCTGTATATAGCCAGGGCGGTTGGAGATGTATGACTCGAGGGTAGAAGGGCGCTCACCGATCGTTCTCACGGAACTCACTCTTTCCGTTGTGTCTTACGGGTTCTCTCTCTCGAGCCCAACCGGCGGCCACAGAGCGGCGCGTGATATAGGCAGAATGTTACTACCGACAAAGACAAGAGAGACTGGAATAGCCATTTCTGGCTTATTAGTCGTCGTCAGCCAATCATGCCCAACCCCGAAGTGTGGAACACCTGGGGCTTGAACTCGCGACCTGTTAGTTAGAAGTCCAAAGTCCCTACACGCAGTTGACGGATAATAGTGCGCATGCGTGAAACTTGCATACGCACGTATTACTTTTTGGTGTTGAAACCCATGAGAAGCGATGAAACCACAAAACCTTAAGTAGACAGAAATAGACATTGAAAAATTTCGAATAAAAAGAGATCGCGACTGGCATAGCGACTGCACTTTAGTGGCCGGATCCGAATCACCTAGAATAACCAAATTTTTGCATCCAAGGTAAGTATAAAGGTGACTGTTTGTGCTACGCCAAAATTTAAGACTGAAATTAGCCTACGATTGGCTGGAAAATAAATAATTCAGCTATGCAATGAAAGTGCCCCAAAGTCCCTCCCTGACGAGGAAGACATATTCATCAGAAAAAGCGACTTACTGAGGACCTTTGGCAGATCCTTCTCTTTCGGCTTGGCTGTAGAGCGTTTTCTGAAGACCAAACGTTTTTTCTTCTTCTTCTTTTCGTCACTGGCAGCAACGGAGACATTATCATCGACAGTTGGTTTGTTCAGTGAACTAGTTGACCGAGCTCTGTTTAGCCTGACGATATGACCGACATAACCTTCGATGTCATCGAAGCACATGTTGAGAAGGAGAATCTCAGCATCAATAAGAGCCTTTTCTGAAGATCAGAATAATGAAGGTAAATCAATAAGTGTTGATTTCTCGACAAGCGGTGCTAAATACTTCCTTTAAATATTATTGCCCCTGAACAGAGAGTCTATCTAGGAGGGCCGCCTGCGAATATGGTAAAGGAGTAGCGGTTGCATGCGCAGAAAACTGTCAAAACCCTTGTTTAGCAGATGGAAATGTGTCGTAATAACCTATGCTAAAGGTTAACTCTTACGCTTCGCTTCGTCTGCTAATCGACCGACGTGTCCCTAGGGGATAGACCTTCACTGAAACGGGTTTATTTAGATGCTGACGTTTCAAAGAGCTTGGTCGTCTCTCCATTTTCAAAGCTTAAAATGCACTTAATCGACCAGAAACTTCAAGTGGCATGTTGTGTTGGTCGGCCTCATGCTGATCGATTTTTCTCCTCGCTGCCTCGGCCTCTTGGGGAATGGTTGACGGGCTTGTTGTCTGCTTGTTTTGTGATTAATCACCACTCCGTCGGGGGGGGGGGTGATTGAACCTTTGTCGGGTGGTCGGTCTGGCGGTTCTTGTTCTTCCTCATCGAGTACACTTGCCGTCGGGCTGTCTCCGTATGGCCTTCTAAGTCCGGTGTGGTTGTCTGGTCCTGAGCTCTACGATTGTGATGGCGTAGGACTTTGTGAGCTGCAGGAAGACCAGACGGCGAATGTACTCGGTGAGGAAGAACAAGAACAGCCAGACCGTCCACCCGACAAAGGTTCAATCACCTCCCCTCAACGATGTGGTGGTGACTGACAGCGCACGCAAACAAAATGCCCGTCAACCATGCCTGAGAGACCTAAACAGCAAGAAGAGAGAAAAATCGATCAGCATGAGGCCGACCAACTCAACATGCCACTTGAAGTTTCTGATCGATTAAGTGCATTTTACGTTTTGACAATGGAGAGACGACCAAGTTCTTTGAAAAGTCAGCATCCAAATAAGCCCGTTCCGGTGAGCCCATCTTCTTCAAATCATCAACCCGGATCTGTTAACTTTGCCAATCTGAGCGGATAGGCCTTCAGCCCACATATGCTGCGGATGCAGGAATATTTGGTGACACAATGACAACGCTCCAAAAGGGGTGATGGTGGAACATCAGACTTGGAAGAGTTGATTAGATGAAATCTGTTTGTCTGGACAATACACAAGCTTCGCTAATTTCATACCCCTACAACAAAAACGAAATCTAGTCTGATGTTTGGCACAAAGATCTAGAAGAGCTTGCTCAACAGATAGCATCGAGGAGGAACTTAGAAAAAACCAGGACTTCCTTACTGAAAACGGACACCCGGACAGGTTTATTGCAAAGAATATGGCCAAACGACCGGTAAAACCTGCCACACCGACTGCCGAAAAGAAAACTCCATCCCTTAAAGTCCCTTTTCAAGGGGACACTGTGAGTGAACTCCTAAAGAGACGCCTTGATCAAGCTGTGAGATTTACACCCTGCTAAAAACTTGTGCATCTGTTTCTTCACTTGCTCCTATGATGCAGGTTATATTGGTCGTACGAGTCGGCGTCTATCCAGAAGAATACGAGAACACCTGTCGGCACGGCTGGGAAAAGGCTAAACTAGGGACATAAGTAGAGTCATTCTCGCGCATGTTGTTGGCTCCGAACAGCGTCTGGATCCCAACGAAGCTTTTCGTGTGGTTTATAAGGTCTCATCGAGCTAGCCTAAGCTACTGGGCCAGTGCCGGTTAACAACAACAGAAGCGGCCGCCATCAGGTTACGAAAACCAATCATGTGCGCATAGAAGAACCACGTTCAGGCTCCGCACCCAGCGTGCTCAAGGGTCGACTAATGCCGCAACTATCCGCGCCCTTCCGCTCTCACCCCGCCCCTGACAGTGACTGCTACTACTCCCCACCCCCCTTCCCCACATTCCCACACCCGGCCTGTGTTTTGAGGCGAACTTTACTCGACTTATCTCATCACTGACGTGTTTTTACTTCCACCCCGTTGCCATATAATTGTACTGGTCCGACGAGAATTTATCGGAGGCTACGCATGCTCGCCATCTCGTCCTCTGATTACTGCTATGGGGATTTTCGCAACTCCAAAATCTGTTTGACTTGAAGAATAGAGCCAGTAATGTATTGTGGCACGCGCAGGTCGGGAATATGTTCAGGCAGCCGCTGCGTCTAAACTCATGACTAGAATGTGTGATAAGCATGAGGCCGACGTTACACATAGTCTCGTCGCTGTAATTCGAGTACGGCTCTTTGGAGGTCGTGGCTTGCGAAAGGCTGCCAGCTGGCAAGATAATTGACCCCAGAGACGGACGGTCGAGTTGCAGTCGCTTCCTAATGCATCTTATACGGTTACCTTTAGGAATACGATTAGCTAGGTATGCGAAACAGTCTGGTTAAAAGAAGACTCGGGATGCTAATGGTGTGCAAACGACCGACTCTGATGAACCGAAAACCAAGTTCTAAGAAGACCTGCACGCCCCCCTGGGGTCTGTGCCGAAGGCGGGGAAGCTGGTTGTCCTTGGCGACTTCAGTGCCTGCCTGTGCTGAGAGGAGGGTAGTGTTGGGTCTACGCGGGATTGGTGGATGCAACAACAATGGTCCCCTTCTCTTTCGTACCTCCGCTGAACATCGCCTCCTGTTAACCAACACTCTCTTCCGCCTACCGTTGCTGAAGAAGGCCACCTGGATCAACCCCCGATCGCGGCGCTGGCTGCTGCTGGACTAAATTCTCGTCCGGCGGGGCGATTTACAGGACTCACTGGGGACCAGCGGTACCTGCGACGCCGATGGCGGGGCGGACCACCGCCTCGTCATCTCCAGGATAAGGCTCCGTCTGCAACCCCGTAGAAGGCTGTAAGTTTTTGCTTGCTCACCGTTTACATGTCAGCAATCAACTGGCCCAGGGTCTGGAAGATCTGCAAGCTCCAGATGAAAACGCCTCCGTGGATAATCGATGGTGCCAACTACGGGACGCCGTTCGTTCGACTCGGCCGCGCACATCGTCAACACCGGAGTCGGTTGGACGAAGCCGATGCAGGCCCCAGCAACCTGGCTGCCGGAGAGAACAGGCTGCATAGAGCCTGGATCGACTGTAAAACTGATGCAAATAAGACTGTATTCTACTCAGGTCACCGCATTGCGCAGAAACGGTTGCGAGAAATCCAGGACGCCTGGATGGCTCACAAGGCCGAGAAAATCCAAGGGTATGTAGACTGCAACAAAACAAACAACTTCCTCGCTGTGATCAGGGCTATATACGGCCCTCCAATGATAGGAACCGCACCGCTCCTCAGCTCCGATGGATCAACGTTTCTGATGGAGAGGTCATAACTTATGAAGCGCTGGGCCGAGCACTTCAGTAGCGTCCTCAACCGTTCCGTCCACAATTTCTGACGCTGTCATCGGCCGGTTCCCCTAAAGTGGAAATCAACGCCGACACGGATCTCCCGCCCTCCCTTCCGGAAACCGTCCGCGCCGTCCAACAACACTCTAGGCCGGAAAATGCAAGACTCTGATGCGATTCCGACTGAAATCTACAAACATGGCGGTCATCGTCTAGTGGATTCCCTCACAGCGCTCTTCCAGGAGATATAGCGCAGCAGCCAGGTCCCTCAGTACTTCGAATACGCAACCATAGTCCACTTCTACAAGCGAAAAGGAAACTGGTAACTCTGTGACTATCACAGAGGAAGCTCGCTGCGCAACATCGCCGATAAAATCTTCGCTCGCATCCTCCTCAATCATCTCAATGGTTATCTTGAACAAGGATTTCTACCGGAAGGTCAGTGCGGATTCAAGCGACGTCCCGCAATCACCGACATGATCTTCACCGTTCGCCAGCTATAAGAGAAGTACCAGAAGATGCGGATTCACCTCTACACTGGTTTCACAGTCCTTATGAAAGCCTTCGGCACAGTGAGCTGCCAAAGACTGTGGAAAATCATGCAGAAGTTCGGCTGCCCCGAGCCATTTACGCACATGGTTCGTCAGCTTCATGACGGGATGATGAGGCGCGTCAGGGACGACGGGGTAATCTCGATGCACTCGCAGTGAGCAATGGAATGAAGCAAGGCTGCGTACTAGTGCCCGGACCCTTTAGTTTTATGTTTTTTACCATGCTGATGATCGCCCACCATGATGAGCGCCCCGGGATCCGCCTCGACTACAGGACCGACGGACACCTTCTCAACGGCCGGCGAATGCAGACCCCATCGCGTCTCTCAACAGTTACTATCAGCAATCTGCTCTTCGCCGACGACTGTGCACTCAACACTGGGCCCGAAGCAGACATGCAACGGAACTTGGGTCTCTTCGCTCCGGCTGAGCCAACTTCGGAATGGTCATCAATACGGACAAAACGATGGTCATGCATCAACAGCCGTCAAACGCTTAACGCAATGTCCCTCGTATCCGGGTCAACGGCACCGAACTGAAGCCAGCGGATAATTTAAACAACCTGGACAGCAAAATCTCACATTGCATCAGAATTGACGATGAAGTGGCCCACGAGGTCTCCAAAGCCAGCCAAACCTTCGGCCAGCCGCAGAACTCCGTGTGGAATCGTCACAGCCTTCAATTGAACACTAAATTAAAGATCTACAAGGCCGTCGTCCTGACGGCACTTCCATACGGAATGGAGGCCTGGACCGTCTATTTCACCCATGGCAGGGATGTCAGTCACTCCCAACTCAGCTGCCTTCGCAGAATACTAAAACTGAGATGGCAAGACAGGATCTCGAACACCGAAGTTCTCTAGCGGACAAGAATACTCAGCATTCACGTCATGATGAAAGAGCTGCAATTGCGTTGAAGCAACCATCTCGAAAGAACGGGAAATACACGTCTATCGAAACAACTGTTCTGCGAAGATGTCACAACGGGTACTAGCCGACAAGAAGGACAAAAAGGACGCCACAGTAACACTCTGAAGAACTCTCTGAAACGCCTGCAGATCAACTCGGAGACTTGGGAGGACATCGCCAGAATAGACTGGTTTGGGGAAAAAAAGTGAAGACTGGCGCAGCCATCTGCTAGGCAAACTGGATCACCGACGTCAAGGCCAAAAAAGGGGGTCCGCAAGTCACAAGTGCCTCGACCCCACAATGCCAATAACCCGCCGGTTTTAACATGCTTGCGTTGCTAGCACACATTTCGCGCGAATTCGGAAGGAATGCACCAACAACACGGCAACGTCAGCTTCTCCCACCAACACCGCTACTATCACCGCTGCCAGAAATCCCACGACGATAACCGGTGATCAGACTGCCGATGCTCGCCGCGATCGATCAACAGAATCATTCGCCATGCCCCAAAACCCTGTGTCGATCACAGCGACCAGCTCCGCCAACACCACGATCTCTCTTATTACGCCCGCTGATGGGAGGATGTCCGCCGCCCCGTCATTGACTATTATTATTATTATTATTATTATCATCATCATCATCATCATCGTCGTCGTCGTCGTCGTCGTCATCATCATCATCAACAAAAACACACCCGCCCCCAACGATGTGGACTCAATCCCAACCCGTCCTCATTGCGATCGTACATCCGCCTACCTCATCGGCCTGGTCGGTCACTTGCGAATCCATCACACAGACACTGGCAAACTAGTACCTAGAGCCCCCACATGCACCAACCGCATCCATCTTCACTGTCCGAATTTCCTACGCACATTCACGCACTGGAATGGACCTACTCGGTGACATACGCATCCGTGACAGCGGAATTCACTGCAGTATCGATACACCTAGTACGCCTTGCATATCCACCATGCCTAACCCATTCAACACCTCACAGGTCAGCGCGCCCACCAAGAGCAGCTCTACCACCATCACAACTGAAACTGCCTTTGAGCATCCCGGTCTGTCCTGTCCACACTGTCCCCGCATATTCGCCCCACACATCGGCCTGATCGGTCACTTGCGAATCCATCGCACAGAGACTGGCTGACCAGTGTCTGGAGCACGCACGTAGACCTGATGGACGCGCCTCAACTACCCGAATTGCTCTTACACATTCGGCCACCGCACTGGTCTAACAGGCTACATGCGCATTCATGAAAACCTGCGGTAAATCACCGCCGGTCATGCCGCACTATCATACCTTTCCCCACTAGCAGCTGCGACATACACCATCATTAGCCATCGCCGCACAACGTAACCACACTCACGAAAGTGGGAGTGTGCTCCTCGGCTCCTCGCTCATGTGGCCCCGATGCTGCATGTGTGATCTAAGCCTGAGCTATTATTGTGCGCCAAGCGCCGTGGCTTGGAAGGCTACTGACTGACGCATCCGCTCGGTCCATGCAGTCTGCCCATTTGTGTGTGTGTCTTTGTGTGAAGTGGAGGACTGGCGGGCTGAGAGTCAGGCTGCAGCGGCTCCTTCTTAAAGTGACCTCTGGCGCTCTCACGCGTGTGATGAGTGTATATATATATATATATATGGGTAGTGTCTCTCAGTCGATGACAGAACGGTTACCCGACCTTGAAGAGTGATGGTCTAGGCTAAATTCAGGACTGTGTGTGTCTGCTATGCCACGCTTCAGAATACCATGGCTCTTGCAGCCTGGTGTGCGCTGGTAGTTCTTTGACGTCTGTTTCTCCGCCTGTGGATGCGTTTGAGACCCAGTTTGGTATACAGGCCGCCTGCATGGTTGCCCAGTGAATTGTGTCATCTTCCTCGTTTTACCCCACTTTTGTTCTTGGTTAAAACTCTGGTCGAGTGCTTGTTATGGACTAGGGGGTGTGGTGGTACTCCTAGGTGCGACTTCGGTCGCGCTAGCCACCTGCGCCATCTCTCGCCTCCAACATTCTTGACTATATCTTGACGCCGGGACTAAACAGAGGGGGGAGGTGAGGGTGCAGTAGATGCTGTGTAAGTCCACTATCGCTATAGTCTGATTCACGCACAAGTCACTGTGTCTGCTCTCACTTTGTCGTGAGCACACGGTGGACATCTTCAAGACCGACGGTCGAACTGCCACTGGACAGCTCAGGTACTGCTAAAGGCTCAGACACGTGTTTCGTTGATATTCTGCCGCTGGGTAACAAAGCTGCGAGGGGCACGGTTCATCAAGCAGCATATGCATACTACTGACTGCCTGTTGGCAGTGTATGAACATTCCACAGTTATTTCACCGTCATTGATAAATTTCCGCTCAAAAATTAATGCTAACTTTCGAACTGACCCATGAAGTTCCCATCCGACTGAACTACTTCAAGTTAGCGAATAATTTCTGCGGAGATTAAAAAGTCGAAAGTTCAAACTGAAGTATTTAGCAGAAAGCACACGGGAAGGCTGGGGACTCACTGATGAGGCGAACCCCTCGCAGCTGTGCCATACAGTGGCAGACTATTGACATAGCACGTGTCTGGGCTTTCGGCTAGCACCTAAGTTGCTAGTATGCTAAACTAAGCACATAAGCGGCAAATATGACAACGCCTGGTGACTGCTGCATTGCTCGGAACCCGCGTCTGGTGTTTGTGTGCAATCGGCATGCCCTTAGGCTCCCTTGTACTTTCTGATCTACCCACACATTTCTTGAAGGTGCACCTCACCGTCTGCTCACCAGGAAGGGGGAGGGGAGATGTGCACTCAGACTTCAATCCAAAATTGCTCAGAGCAAATAGGCTCAGATTAATACGACAGATTGCCTGCACGGTCTCGCCTATCAATAGGACGTTCAAAGTTTTCGGAGAAAAAAGAGCGTACAATAAAAAAGCCACCTAGTTCTTGTGATCCAAAGACCTCAAGGGAAGAGTGCAAAGGACTTGTCTCAGAAGTCAATGAAAGAAAACTGTTTGTTAAAAGATGGAACTGCACCTCAGTCGACCAGTGGACGTCTTCCTCTGCTCAAAAATACAGCGAAGACATGCTACGAATGCGGATTGACAAATAATTTTTATACTTGACTGTCCTTATGTCAAAAAGAATGAAATAAAAGAAAAAGTCACGTTGTATAAGAGGATGGGGACAAATTTTTAATACTATCTAGTAGAATAATGCATCTCTTCCTTCCCTGGCACAATGCTTATGCCCGCTTGAGTATTTAATTTAAATCAAGAACCAATGTCGAGTACTTTGGACAAGGTTCGTTGACTTTCAGGCGCTGGGTCTTCAATTAGCAAAGTGGACGTTGGGGGACCGAGTTAGGACTCATTGATGATGCTATACGACTAGTAGGCTGTATTATGTACAATTATTGCATCTTTGGCTTCTGTTTGCACGTAGATGAGACCTTTGTACTTCGAGGAAACTCTGTATCGGGGAAACTGTTTTGGGTGAGATAAATGGATTTAGTTGGCCCCAGGTTTTCCCCATTTCGGGGTTGGGTATAACTGGCTGAGGACGGCTAATAAGCCAGAAATGACCATTCTAGTCTTCCTTGTCTTTGTCAGTAGTACTATTCTGCCCATATCATGTGCCGCTGTGCGGCTGCTGGTTGGACTCGATGGAGAGCCCATAAGGCACAACGGGACAAGTGAGCTCCGTAGAAACGATCGATGAGCGTCCATCTACCATTGCAGATTGATATATTTGCGACCCACGACTGCACCATCGACAAGTTGTGGTTCTACCTCTATGAGGTAATTTTAAACAAAAATCTACTGAGTTATTTCAGTGGTAATTTTTTTGAGTGTGGAGGACTAATTTGGAAAGATAAATGTCGCCCGGTAGACAATCCTTGACTCATTACATTGAAGGGTTTGTCAATGATGTGGTAAGTCACATCTGCTCAGAACGTGATCAGTGACTAGGAGATGTACCTAGTCACCAGCCAAATACATGCAACCACACCTAAAAGGATAGAAGCAGCCAGGAAATTCTTCATACATACTGAAAGGCTTGGATAAAGTCCTCTAGAGAATACCAAACTGGTTTTTTACCAAATTGTAGCGGCTTCTGTGATTTAGGTTAACTGCTGCTGCCAGGCATTTGTATTGTTTACCAGCCAAAATGTCAGAAGGGTGGAGAGGGGGGGGAATGACAGGCAGATGGAAAAGTATATTGTGGAAACTAAGTCTTCCTTCACCTCTGCCTTAAAAGTGGTCCAACTCTTCTTAGATCGTTTTGTACCGTCTCTACATTGTCCAATATCAGCGACCAAATGTTAACTCAGAGGGGAAAAAGTGAAGAGGGGTTCCAAAAGTTATTGCTTTCGATTGCGCGACGTAGAAAGAGGGCGCTAAACAGGAAAACTGAAATCGGTCACCAGAGAAAAGCTTAAAGTCATCTCTTCTATTAGCCTTTGACAGATTTTCTCCTCTGGCCGTCAACAGTAACCGACTAGGGGTTTATCATCACACTGGAAGCATTCAATCTGTTCATATTATCTTTGAACTGGGCCCGCCTTCGGTACCTTTTACACGAATCGTTGTCTAGGAACATGGTAGGCGTTGAAGCTCTTCTCAGCTACAGCAAATTTGTGCCCAAAATGCTTACTTGACGAATGAATGAAAGTTTGGTCCTAGGTGACCATCACAGTGATTCGCCGAGACACTAGTGGAGATAATGCAACTAATGCTGATAACGTGTGGCTGTAGAAGTGACCGCTTTAGGGCGGATGGGTGAAGGGTTTGGGGTTTCATATGTGTTCATCCACTATCATTTCATATGACTATTCTTGAAGTAAACTGTCCGCCAAAGTACTACGATTCTGCAGTTGGAAATTACACACACACAAGTCCCCATAGCTGCTAGACAAGTTTACCACTCGATGCGTTTTCAGATAGTCATTTCTAAAACATTGCGAGAATCTTGGGCCCTCTGTGTGCTCTGAAGTCGGGAGGCGGGCGCCAGAACCTTTATGCACCTTCCCTCCCCTGGTGACTCGCATATCACCTGAAATAATCTGTGTTGAGCAATACTGTTACTCAAAAAGCCCCTGTTGAGCTTACTGCTGGACATATCCATTTGAACGCTGTCAAGGTCATTAGAGTCAGATCCGACGCGAGCGCGACTCTCCAGTTCCTGGGTCCCCTCATCACTAGTGGTATCGCTGGTCGGTGCCGCCGCTGCTGATCGTTGGTATTCTTGTCGACTTGGCTGTATGATGGGGGCGCTTTCCTGT